GTTTCTTTTAGTGTGATAACCTTAGATTATCAAAAGGTCCTAGATAGAGTATGATTGAATGTGGGACAAAACTCAAAATAAAAAATGACAAGGCTTCTTAGTTGGACATCAAGGCTGGCACAGCATTCTGCTGAGCTCCTGGTTCGCCCCACTTGTACTCCTGCCACCGTGTCTCTGCTGCTCGACTCTACTGTGCTTGTGCTATTTCTCTCCGTCTCCTATCATCTGCACTGTCACAGCTCTCCTGAGTTTAGGAGCTTCTCAGGACCTCTGGTCCTATGGCCCTTAGTCACCCTTCAAGACTAGAAAGGAAATCACCCCATGGATCATTCTTCAGCCAAACAGTAGGTCTCTAAGGAGAACAATAGCATTAGGGAGGTATGCATAGCTTTTCATAATCACTGGCCAACAAACACTTTGGTGCCTCGAATGACACTCATTTCTGAGTATATTTGGAAAACGCCGATTCCCCGAATGGCATCAGTTTCCCCCGATCGATTCTAGTTTTTGAGATACAGAACACATCACACACCACTCTTCACTGTGCTCATCCCCCCAAAATCAGGGTATTTTAAAGTATTGTTAGCTACCCTGAGATAGAGAAGTACACGCTGGCTTTATTTAAAGCAGTTTGTGTTGTACTAAAGGCCATGTTATACTTCACATGGTGTCCTTTTATCCAAAACTATATTTGAACAGTGCAAATTACATGAACTTGAAAATCTTCCAAAGTACCACTTCACCTTTATTAGGAACTGAATAGTAGGCAGTTCCAATTTGATATCTTTAAAAAGGGGCCAGAAATAAGAGTCATCGTACAATAAATAAGGAGCCTTGGTGATACAATGGGTTACGGGTTATGTGTTCGACGACTAACTTCAAGATTAGCGATTTGACCCACCAACTGCTCTGGAAAAGATGAGTCTATGCTTCCATAAAGATTTATAGCCTCAGAAACCCACAGGAGAAGTCCCACTCAGTCTTACAGGGTCACGTGATTGACTTGAGTACAATAAATAGAGATTCAAATGTTCTGAAACCCAAATTTGTCTGTCAGATTTCAAACTCCTTTGTTACAAGTTAAACATTCCAGTTCTATTATAAGATGGCAAGATTCTCCATCTATGCCCAGAAACTCTTAAAAATTAGAATTTATCTTATAAAGAAGGTTACAGTCAATCTCTTTCTGAAATGTTTAACATGAATTATCCATTGACTTCTATATGTTAAATATGTTTTGAAATGTTTACTGAAAAATTTGAAGAAGAAACATTTAGATCTTAAAAATATTTAGGAAAATGGCTATGAGTTCTTATGTTTTTGACACTATAAAGTACCCCCACACCTTCCATATATGTGTCTTTTCAATTTTCTACTCTTCCCAAACTTTGTTCTGGCTTTACAATACCCAATTTGTAGTCTTAGTATGTATGGCACAGCCTCCCATGCCCACAAGAAAAACCCACTGCCATCTAATCAATTCTAGCTCATAGTAACCCTATAGGACATACAAGAACTTCCTCTGGGTTTTCAAACCTGTAGATCTGTTCAAAACTGCAGAGTTACTGTGGGGTTTGAACCACCTATCTTATGATTGGCAGTTCCATGTGTAACCAACTAGCCAGTGTGGGTCCATATACAGCTTCCCTTAAAAGTCCTCTAAAACCTAATGATTTTTCAAATAATTTACAGTTCTAAATTCTTCTCATATTAAAAATAAGATGATAAATTAATAAATCGGTATAAGTTAATAGCTGAAAATAAGTAGCACACCACATCTAAGAAATTGGGATGCAGGATACCCAAGACAATTTCTGAATTGATCCCTCAAATCACCTGAGGAAAAGGCCTAAACACTAACACACCAAAAATAATAACAATAAAACATTGGTCCTGGGGGGCTGTGTAATTAACCATTTGAAGTTAAAAACAACAAAACCCAAACAAGCAGCATTTTCCCCCAGAACACAGAATTGACAAGTGTTAAGAAAGAAGGAGCAATGGGCATGGGAAACACACGAGGGGACGTGGGATATGTGATGAGATGTTGAGATGCTTGCAAGGAATGAGATGAAACAAAATATGTACGAATTGTTGAATGCAAAACTGGTGTTCTATTGTGTAAATCTTCACACAATTCACAATATAAAAAAGCTGCTTAAAAGAATGGACACAGGTATTTTGGGGAAGGGGAAGTATTTTCCCTTTAAGAATCTCTTGCTGTTATTATTTGCCTTCTTTAAATCATATTATTGTTGGTCACATTGCTACAACTGTGTGTCTTATGTGTCCAGATGAATTAGAATGAACAAAGAATCTGTGGAGTGTTTGATGCCAGCAGGTGTATGTGCCTCCTTCCTAGCAGTCCTGTTGCTGTGGGTTTTCTTATTGTCTGGAAGTCTGAGGCACAGCCTGACTGCATGCTCAGTGCAGACAGACACACCATACGGGCACTGACCCACCAAGGTTTCTATACAAAAACATCGGCACTTCTGCTCCATCATAAATGAAAATCATCAGAGTAGCACAATGAAAAATGGAGTGGGGGCTGCAGGCCAGATCATGGAGAGCCCCTCTTCTTGTTCCAACAATTTAGGGGCCGTTACTGAGCAGCTACAACAATGGGTTCAACAATTTTGAGAATAGCCCAGGGAAGGGCAGTGTTTTGTTTTGTCCCACAAGGAGTTGCAATGAGTTGGAGCAGACTCAAAGGGGCCTACCAAACACAACAAGCAACCCAATCCAAAGTCACTGCCCTCCAGACTTTTCCAACTCACGGTGGCCTTACAGAATCACATAGAATTGCCCTGTGGGTTTCTGATCCTGTAACTTTTTATGCTTGCAGGGAGCAGACCAACACGTAACCACTACATCACCATGACTCCTTACCCAAAACACCACCACCCCTCAAAATGTTTGTGAAATAGGATCAAGGCCTTGACAGAAATGGTATTTTGTAATCGCTGTTAAACAAACCACCAAAGTCCTCTACCTTCGACAGCAGTAAGTACCGTGTGAGTCACCAGAAAGATGTGTGAACAGGTTTTTCTTTTCTTTTGGAACAGTTCCTATGATTGATGGCTTTAAGAATACAACTGCTCTTTGAGAAAAGAACCCAGACTAGCAGTCTCCAAGCATCACAGTGTTGGTACTTCTCATAATTACTTCTTTTGGATAACACAGTGTTAACAGCTTGTGTAGCGGTTACATGGACATGAGCTTCAGTAGCCATGTAGAGTTGTAGAGACAGCAGAGTTCCCGCACCTTCCCTTTGCAGGCTAAAAAGCACAACCTCCCACACAGCCCATACCAGTCACTCTTCCTGTCTTGTGTCCAGGGCTCATTTCCTGCCCAGAGTCCTGACATCATTTTTTTGAACAGGCAACAGTTCTCTAAACGGAAGGTGAAAATGTTGGTCCAATGCTAAAGCTTGGTAATCAAAACACAGCTGTGAAATTGGCACTGTCTCCTGATAGGAGGGGTAAAGGCTTTTCTAAGCATAACCACCTCCCCCATGTGCAGACAGAGAAGAAGGACAACGAGGGTTCTCATGGAAATCCCCAAACTACCCACAGTATATAGAAGGAGGGTACTTTCCTCCCTGTATTTGTGGCTGTCCCATTCTCTGTAAGGTGACTGCTGGCTACTTGCAGCATCCTGGCCCACTGGCTCTGGGCCTCCTGGGATGGTACAAATAGTGAACCTATTTGGCTAGTAATGAAAAAGTTGGGTTCCACCCTGAGGCATCTGAAGAAAGGCAAAGATGATTTACTTTAGAAAATTCAGTCATTGAAATCTTATGAGTAGAGTTCTAGCCTGACATGTATGAGGTCACCATAGGTTGGGGTCAATTCTACAGCATTTTTTGGTGGGGAGGTGGGGCCAGGTTTACACAGAAGAGGGTAGCTCTGGACCAGTGGGGACCTTCCTCCGGGCATGCGCTGTGTACTGCAGGGTGTCTATCTGCACGTTTCCCCAGAGGAATCTGAATCCACCATGGACAGGGTACTTTTGCATGCCAGGAAATGGAAGGACAGTTGTGCACTTTGGATAAAAAGAGCACTTAAGGCAAAAACCGGGGCTTCTATCCCTATTCAAGTAAAACTAACTCTACCCAGAAACTAGTAAGCAGCCACAGAAGGCCAATGTTGACTGGCAAGGGATCTATTTCCAGGCCAAGAAAATAAGTTTTCGAACAAAGGACCTGCCCAAGCCAGCCGTCCTCAAACTTAGCCTATAACCTTAGAAACGAATCAGCCCAGTCATCCCACATTGCTAACAGCCCATAGGAAACCTGTTCCGCCCTCCGCCAATGTCACTTAGTATCTCCGTGTCAGTTGTTGAGACTGGTAATTACATGCTTTAACTGGCACTTACAAATGCTGTGCTCTGGTTAATAAAAATAGGAAAATAGATTATTTCTAATGAATCCCCTGTATTTGCTAGAGACTAACCCTCAGACCTGAATTCCATGAAGAGATGACAAACAGAATGCCTAGTAGTAAGAAAGGCTTAGAAGCCCTTATGCTGAAGGAACATTGATCTGGGTGGATATACTTGAGTATATTCAAATGGACCTTTCAAATAGAAGTGGTTGTATACAGAGGAGTCTGTTACAGGGAAAACAAGCTCCCTTTTATCTCCTTTTTCTTGGAGTCCTCAGTTCCCAGTGGTTCAGAGCCTGTTTCCAGCACGGACCATGAGAGGGACACTGAAGGAAGGTCCAGCTTTCCAAAGGTACACACAGGTTCCCACCATATTCCTTGGTAGCCCCAGGGAAACCCCTCTTCTGCCCTGAAAAGGACAGCTGGGAATTGCTAATCATGCTGAGAAGACGGGCATTCCCCAGGATACTGGCCCCTCTTGTTCTAGTTCTTACGATAAGACATGTAAGAACAAAACAACCCTCACCTCATAGCAGAGAAAGCTTCACACGTACCACCATCCTTAACTTGGCACGTCCCACACCAACTCACCACGTTGTGGAATGGCGACCCTACCTCATGGGACAAGTAGAAGGCAGCGATGCCCAAGGGCCAGAAGCAGCAGAGCATGGAGAAGACACTGAGGCCCAGGTGGTCCCTGGGGGGCATCATGAGGAAGTTGTCCTCGCTCTCGGTGTCACTTGAATAGTCACTCTATAACAGGGAGGAGAAAAAAAAGAGCAGAGTGAGGCTTGTTAAAGGCTGCAGAGGCTATTGCTGTGATTGCTCTTGCTACTGTTTGCAAGTTGTTAGTAGCTATTAAGTAAGCCCCCAACTCTCTGTGATCTCATGAGCAACGCAATAAAGCACTGTGCCACCATTGCTTGCAGATCAGATTGTTGTGACTTATGGGTTTTCATTGGCTGAGTTTTGGACATAGATTGCCAGTCCTTTCTTCCTAGTCCATCTTAGTCTGGAAATTCCACTAGAAAAATGCTAGTCTCTGCTAGAGGATAAAAATTCTACTAGTGAACTTCCACCTCCAAGGCCTGCAAATCAACATCCTCAGAGAAGGACAGCTGTGGCACCTTGCTCAGCCAACGACATGCTTACAAAAAGAGGAAGTGTAAGTGCCAAATGTTGGGCACTTAGTATGTTCAACAGAAAACAAAACCAGTTCAGAAGTGCATCATTTCTAAGAACTCTGTTACGATCTGAGTATGCAACATAGTAAATATTTTAACTCCCAGAGAAAATAATGGGGGACTTGCATGAGTCACATAAGTATTGGGATTCCACTTTTTATACTGAGTTGAGAAGAATCCAGAGGTATGGAGGGAGAGCACAATACTTGGAGGCGCCCTTCAGATCTGGACACATACACAGGTGATCCCTATTCCATCTGGGATATACAGATGTCTTCCCACAGAGCTGAAGACGACTTTCAAATCACTGCCTTGAGGACCCACTCTTGCTTCCTTTGCGACAAGGTAGACAACAGAGCAGTTCTTGGCAGAGGCATTGAATAAGAGCCTCTTGGGAACTGGGTGGACTGCACTCTCTCTGACTCATTAGAAACCAAGATCCATGGTTTCATGCATTTGTTTTATTTAAAGAAGGAATCGTCTTCGCTACAGATTCCATTTTCCAAAAAGACAACAGAACATTTTCCCTTAAAGAGATTCATTAAATCCACACTTCCTTAACAAGTTAAGGAGCCTGCTGGCATTTTGTTTGGATTTCTAACAAAAAGGTCAGCAGTTTGAACCTACCAGGCATTCTGTGGTGGAAAGATGAGGTTTTCTAAACTCCTATAGAGTTACAGTGTCATCAACACACAGGAGAAAATGTGTGTGTGTGTGTGTGTGTGTGTATATATATATATATACTGTTCTATAAGGTTGCTATGAGTCAGAAATGACTCATGGCAGCAAGTTTGAGTTCTTATCCAGTCGCCTGTTGGTGTTCAACACACAGCTTGGGATAGCATTACATACTCAAAAGATGCCCACTGTTGTGTGGCTTGGTTAGAAAGCACAAAGAGAACATTGTCCTGAGACCCAGGAAACTACCAGGATAAATCATGTGTAGATCTTGATTGCCATTCCTACACTAGAAGGCCCCACACAGTGAGGTCCCTACATTGGAGGGTTTCCTACACTAGAGGGCTCCCTAGACTGGTGCCCACACTGGGAGGTGCCCACATTGGAAAGTCTACACAAGAAGACCCTGAAGCAAGTGTTTTCCCACAGTGGTAGGTCCCTATCCCATCAGTGGGGGATCATGCCCTCCTTTCTAGTTAAGCATCCACAGAGGGCACAGATATAAAGCCCACAAACAATAACAGGATCTGTTCCTCCTTTTGTTAATGAATGCAACAATGCTGCCAATAAGAGTCTCTAATCAGCGCTTAAACAGCATGTGCTGCTCTAGCTTCCTGCTAAGACTGTTATTTGTCTAGTCAGCTGAGAGAAAACAGGTTTGCTGGGCTACATTGTTGGCCGTGGGGTGGAAGTCTGCAACCCCACGCCCCACCCCCACCCACATAGCCTGGGAACTCACTTCTCCAAAGGTCTTATCAGCACCTGGTGATTTGGTGCTGTGCAGTGTGGGTATCACTATAGCCCCCCAGTCTGACTCCAGAGCTGCAAGGGAGGTTGCGTTCTTTTCTCTGTGTGGTATCCTCTTTCAAATTGTCTTCCAAACAGTGGAGGGAAATGAATATCCCATTGTTATGTCTCCAAGAAAGCACAATAATCAGCACACAGGGTGCATGATTTACAGTACGTTTGAGGACCTGGAGCTACCCAGGTGGAGCATACTTTTCACAGCATGTTGGGAGATCTAAACGATGGAATGATGAAGGGTGGGGAGTGTGCTAGGTTAGCAGAGAGGCTGAGAGCCTTCACTGCTGTGCCCTTTCTTACATAGAGTTGCTGCAGGCACACTGAATGTAGCAGCTACTTCGATTAAGATGCTCTGGGTGGTCCACAGGACTAGGAGTGCCAGGAAAGGCATGGGTTAAAATAGGGGAGACTAGGCTTAAGGGACCACTGATAAAAAACTGAAAAGAGGACATCAGAATTGTTCTTTCTTCCTCACCCTCCACTAGACCATGTGCATAATGAGTTTTGCAGTGAGACTGTCTTCTGATAACATATCTGAAGTATGCTTTTACAGAGCATTCTGATCATAAGCATAATAAACATTGATGTATCCAATGAAATACCCTCAAAATGCAATAATCAAATCCTTACGGAAATGAAGAAGCAAATAGACAGTACTACAATACTAGTGGGAGACGTCAATACACCATTCTAGAGGAAATACAGATCAATTAGAAGGAAATCCAACAAAGATACAGTCAATATAAGCAATATAATAAACTTGATCTCTCAGACATATACAAAACACCTTCATCTGCCAACAGTATTCTTTTAGAGCATTCATGGAACATACTCCAGAACAGATCATATGTCAGGCCACCCAGTTAGCATCAACAAATTGTAAAAGATATTGCAAACTATCTTATCAGATCACAATGCTGTAAAATGATAAACTAACAATAGGATCAATAAAAATATTAATTGCATGGAAATTGAGCAGCACCTTACTTAAAAACCATTGGGGAGTTGAAGAAATAAAAAGCAAAGTTAAAAATTCCTTGAAACAAATGAGAATGAAAATTGACCAGGTATATTAGAAGGCTATAGATGACAATGAAATCCTAAAATCTATTTGCAGTGTCTCCACTGGGATTAAGATTCCACTGAATTTCTGTGTGTTTTTCCCCCAAAAAATGTTACTACCAGGCCCGGTGCAAAAACAGTTCTCAGAAGACTGTACTCCATTAATTTTAAGAACCTAGAAGAAATGTACAGCTTTCTAACAGCATATAACCTGCAAAAATGAACACATTTGGTAAAGAAAACCTCAACAGACCTATGACACTAGAAGAAATTGATCTGGTCATTTAAAAAATACCACACAAATAAGTTCATGGCCAGGTACTTTTATGGGAAATTCTACACAAACTACCCCAAAATATAGAAAGGGACAACACACTACCAAACTCATTGTGTGAAGCAAGTATAATGCTGATCCCCAAATCAGGCAAAGACATCTTCAAAACAGAAAACTACAGACTAAAATTCCTTTTGAACATAGATGCAAATATTATCCACCAGATTCTCGATAATAAATTAGACAAACAATTAAAAGAAAGCACATCATCTTCAAGTGGGATATTACAAAACAGTACTATGGCATGGCCCTACTTGATGCTCACCCTCATGAAGAGAACACTAAAGATATGGGTGCTATAGCAAAGGTAGTGAAGAAACCGATGATGCCTGTCTAGTAGAAAGACTGGCATCTGGATTCTTCAAGGCTTATCTTCAAACAAGCAGCCATCTCAATGAGGCATCAACTGAGCTCACATGGAAGGATACCAGCCAGTGTGATCCAAGGATTGCAAACAATAAAATCCAAATCTGAAGGTGGGAATAGTATCAGACTTGAGATCTTGAACATCCAGTTTGTAGAAGATGATGAATTACAATAGACACACAAAATCCATTTTCAGGGTCCTTACATGAATTAAGCCTCTGGTTAATCCCTTCTAACCACAGTCTAAGGATGTGAATAGCCTTGCTATAATGCAGAGTACAGTGGAAATTGGATTATCGAAGATGAAATTAGGTTAAAAAATGAACACTTTATCAAATAATCTCCCCTTTGACCCATTTTAAACTTGCTCTACTTTTTGTGCTTTCTTTTGATTGAGGTTTTTCTCTGTTTTACTTTGGTATTGTTGTTGGGCGGGGTTTTTCTGTTTTGTTATGAAATTCGAAGAAAAAAATATTAAAGGTCTGAAAAACAATTCCTAAAAGATAAACTTGTACAGAAAGTGTACCTACACAATGCATTGTGTCTATTACATTAAACATGTATAATATACAAACACAAAAACTATTAAAGAGGCCACCATGTTTCACCAATCTGAGCAAGAATAAAATGCCTAAAGAACAATGTAGATGATGCAAAGGATGGAGTGGTTACTTCAAGCACCATTGAAAGAGAACAAATGAATGAGTATGTTTAGTTATAAACACTGAATTGAACTTTTGGCACTAGGAATCAGAGCATTGTGCCATATAGCATTAGCATTTATTAACATGTATTATAAAAGTATGTAGTGTCAAAGGAACAGAATCACCAACATTCGAAAGCAGCTTTGTCAACCAGGCAAGAAAACACTCAACAGCATGTCTTTCTGTTGTCCATCACTGAATAGAGTGGTAGCAGTTTTGAAATGTTAAAATAAAGGGAGATAAAGACAAGAAGAAAGGAGTTATAACCCCTTTTATTCTCTCTATTTAAAATCAAACAGAGAACAAAACATACATCATTTTTTAATGCTTACATTTTTAAAGTACATCATTTGTACAAGAGAAAGACTAAGAACAAAGATGTGTTTACAGAGACACAAATATAAGTGAGTATCAGTAGTCTCACACAGCCTTTCGGTGATACTCAGGAATCACTTAATAATCGCTGGCACTAGGTAAAATGACAGAATTCTTTGCCAGGTCCTTTAAGATATTATGAAGATAGTTCAGTAAAAAAGCAAGACTCCTCTCATCCAGAGGTGTACAGGCCAACATTGCTCCAATTCACACAAATAATCTCAGTAGATGTGGTATGTGAGAATG